CTAGATAGTTTTTGCCTAGCTGCGGGACTTTTGTCCACGACTGTATAATTGATTTGTATGAAATGATTGAAGAAAATGCCTTCGATCAAGTCTTACGTGCTTATGTGAAAAAAAGAACTTGCTGAAGAAACATTTTCAGATGAAGAACGACAACGTGTCCTAACTGTATTTTCTCGTAAAACATTCGAAAAAGAAACAATTGCTGAAACATTGAAAAGTATCGATAGTTGGATTTCGATGCTCAAACGATTAATGATTCGTGTGTTAAATGCTAATGTCAGTCTTGAAGTTCCACTTCAACTTTATCTTGAACGAACCGATTTATGGAATGATTGTGTGAACAATATCGATCTTGAAACCTTTCAAGTTGATGATGTTATTCTTCTTCAACACACCTATGTCGTCCTAAGAGGTTTAGAAAAAAGACAACAAACGAATAATAAATCACCACAACAACAAAACGTATCAAATATTCAAACTATAGAAGGACAACGACAAAAAGTTCAAACATGGTTCGATACAACAACTAGATCGACAACAGCTCCCAAAGTGATTGCTGACAAAAAAGGAGATAAACCAAAGATTCGTATGTGATTGATTGTTTCTTTTTTGATTCATTAAAAGTGATTTGAAAAAGATACTCTTAAGGTTGTGCGATGTTCATGGATAATTTATATGAACAACAAAACATGTCATTGAAGAATAGCGTGTAGGTGGGGCGGAGTGAATATAGAGGAGAATATGGTATACGCGATCTCTTTATTGTCAGACACACCTACACTGACACCCCTCATTTTATATTTTTGTCTTACTTTCTACAGATTTTCTCTTTAAAATGAGATGTTGCTACTGATTATTGATTATCTCTCAATCATTTAAAGCTTGTGCCATTTTAAAAATAGTTTCAGGTTTTATTCATTCGTCTCTGGAGAGAAAGCATAATATTCAATCAATGCAAAAGACACCATTCGTTAAAGGTTTCACGAGTCGCTGTTTTCAACGATTTATAGCTGTATTGTGAAAATGCATTTATATCTAGGGTATAACAGGTTCACTTGTGTGACTACTATTCACAAGATGTATTAAACTGAAACTGGTACAATCTGTTCATCTAAAAGCTGATACTTTTTAGATTAGACGATAGAGGAAATGAGAATTAGACAGTCAAACCATCAAATGTTATGTTTATTCAATCTGTTTTTAATCATCTGTCTATAGTGTGGGTGTTGGTGTCGATGTGATCGAAGAAAAGACCCACACCCACATCCTACCCTTGTACTTTTTTCTGAGTTAATAAGCCATACGCAAGTTCATTGTTTTAAAGAAAAAAGAATATATCTAGTGCTTTTATCAAGAATAAAATATTCATAGTTATTCTTCATTTTAAATGAGCGTACACATTAGAATGACTATTGTTCTTAGCAATCGAATAAAATCCAATTAAACCCTTAAACATACTCTTTGATTTGGCTCGATGCAACGGTGGACCATTCCGAAGAAAATCTTCAAGTTCACAAGCAATTTCAACCAAAATTTATCAATTATTTGTAGTTAATGACGGAAACCATACATTCAAAGCATTCTATTAACGTCAACCACTTGTCAAATCATTTTTCTTTTGTTAGTAGTCGATTAGAGCAAATTATTATTTGGAAAATGAGTCATTCGCCACAAATTTCTTCAATTTATATTTATTCCATAGCTTCCTTGTTGCGGGCAAAAAGAAAGCCAATTAGTGGGACATGGTCGCATTTTGGGGAGCGTAAAATCTCATTGTCTCATTTTTAATGCGTTTCCAAAATGCGG